TTACATTGAACCTTATGGGGAAATTTCCTTCGGGTTGTGACCAATTCGGGGTGCGACCAGAATCATGGAACAAATTAAGTTCGTAAACCGAGGTTCCACTGTATATCTATCTCCAAATGCTAGTCATTATGGAAGTGTTCAGACGCGTATGCAGTCATACCCAATTTTCACTTCACAACCGTGTATGCAGATTGGACAGAGTTAAAAGCAACTAGTCATACTTTTCAGAACTTTAGGATGCATCTTACAATCCATATGTATACCAAGATGTGAATATTAGGAAAAGGTACATACAAAATGGGTACATTAAAAACATGCCAAGGATGTTAATGTAAAGAAAAGCAGGTACACGTGTGAGAGTAGGAGAAATACACATGAAAATAAGTTCATAATTTTAGCTTAGAACTCTTCTTCTGCCGTAAAGTAGAGTGCATTGTCTAAGCCTTAGCTTATTGAATAAACCATGATTGGCTCGTTCCTATATGCATCTGCTGAAAAGCAAGTATTAAGTTCAAAAGAATTTATCCCTAAGTAGGTAGGTTGCACCCCAAATTATTTCTTATGTCTAGCCAGAGGCTACATTTGATGCCCTAAATGCCCGTTCCAACTCCATTATTCTATAATGTTTTTATTGGACCTGGTTAAAGCTATTGGAGGGATTCTGCTCAGCATGTCCACGCAGTAAGCTGAGTATAGTATCAGGCCTTCTCTCTAGCAGAAGCTAGTTTTTTATTCTCCAAAAGGAGCATTTGGATTCTGCATTCCTTCTCTTTCCCACAAGTAGCAAAAACTTCCAAAGATCCAGTAGGCAGCTGAGGCAGACAAATCAGAGTCCTTCATCTTTATGGAGGTCTGTGGCATCCGTTTATTCCTATTGGATTTTTTTAAAGGATTCTTGCTTTTTATTTAAGAACTATCTCCCTACAATATTCTCCTTTGAATTTTAAACCTTTATATATACTGGTTTAAAAGACCTCTTCTAGCCAAACTCACACTGCCTGCTTTCCATGTGTCTACTGAGAAGTAGGTATCATTGAGTTTAATGGGACTTATTCCCAGGGATATCTCAGCCTGAAAGCTTTTAAACTCCACTGAATTTGAGTTGTGAAGTTTAATCACTCAATGACCCCTCTTGCAATCAAGAGGATCTTGGCCATATTGATTACAACTCTCTGAGCCTGAATTTGATTCAACAGTGACTTTGAACAAGAGCTGTGTCTTTCATTGGGTGATATGTTTTCCCCCCACAGGAACTGGAAGCCTTTAAGCCCTATCCAGTAGAAATCCTGCCCGCTAAGCTGTACATGGGAAATTATGTGCAAGCCTGCGACAGCCAGATTCAGAAGGATCTGAAAATCAAAGCCCACATTAATATCTCCGAGGAAGCTGGCATATTGTGAGTTTTGCAGCCCTCAGTAACAGTATACTCAAGACGAGTCAGCACTCCCTGCTTTTCCGTCCTTATGAGAAACATCACTATAGTTACTTTGCTATACATTATTTTAGCCCTGGGTGTTGTAAGGTCATTTCCAATCATGCCATTGAATTTGAGCAGTTGAATATATTTTTTTAAAAGTGGTGCAATTTCCCAACAATTTGCAGTGGCAGACATATGAAATCTATAAATGAATGTCCTAGAGTAGGCTTAATATAGTTTTAAAAAGAGCCCCTCTAGTTCCTCCCTAAAAAAGCCTGGAAGAAAAAGATCCGTGACCAGCTTATCATGGCCTTCTGTCGCTTTAAAAGTATTGTGGATTTCTCATCAGCCGAAGATCGACTACCCCAATGTCTGATAGAAGTGGGTAGGTGATTGAAAAGCCCCTCCGCCCAAAGGCATATAGTTTGGTTCCATGCTCAGATCCTAGCCAGGGGAGGAAGAAGGCATACATCCCATTTAAAGACGCCAGACAATTTGCTATCCCCTGCACAATCAGGACAGATCTACAAAAACATAAACTCAGATTAGCGATGGTTCCTTGCCCATTTCGCAAACTCTGTTGTATTTTTTAAACTCCTCTTCCTCTAAATAGCTAACAGTGTATATAGTTCACCCCTAAAGAGACGGTTTGGTCTACTGGTGAAGGCAGCAGGCTAGCAACCAGGAGGCTGTGAGTTCTAGTCCCGCCCTAGGCATGAAAGCTGGCTGGGGGACTTTGAGCCAGTCTTTCTCTCTCAGTTCCCAACATCAGACTCAGGCAACAAGCGGGTTGGTCAATTCCTGTCGCAACCAATGGATCAACATTTGGTTGATCTGAAAAAAGCAGACCCTGCACCTGTGGGCAAAAAAAGCTAGGATGGAAAAAAAAGTATATAGTCCCCCCCCCCCATTTTATCCTTTCAACAGTCCCATGAGGTAGGCCAGTTTGAGAGGATGATTGACTGAAGACCATCCTATGAGCTTTATCCCTAAGCAGAAATTTGAATCCTGACTTCTCCAATGCTAATTAGTTATAATATGGTGATGTACTAATACTCTTGTTTTGCCTGGGCTGATTCACTTTTGCATGCTTCCAAGTAGATCTTCTCTTTTTCCCAGTTTCCTTGAAGACAGAGAAAAACTCCTTCATATTCCCATTCCTGATTCTCTGGAGGCAGATTTTTTCCCTCACTTTAGCAACATTTGTCATTTCATTGGTAAGTAGACTGTAGTAGTTTTCTCCTCCCCCAGTCCAGAGGGCAAGTGTGTAGCCGCAAACTCTTTTTTAAGCTTTTTATTCTGTATATTCAATCTTCCCATCATTTCATCATCTCGTCTCATTTCCAATAAAGTGACAGGACCATCATCTGCATTCTCAATACATCTATAAGTTAAGAGCCTTCAGATTGAACTTCCTATATTTGCACAATAAAAAAAGATCATGGAATGACTTGAGTTAATGCTGATTAATGAAATCCCAGATTTCTGATCTATATTCTCATGAAGTCAGAACAGTAAAAAAAAGTGTGGTTTAGCTGGTTCAGGGAGGTATTGATCCTGCCGTGATCACATCTCAGTAATGGAGAATCCCCAGATTTCTTATGCCAGCAGAACATTTTGGGATCTCCTAAAATCAGGTTGCTAATTGCCAGAGGATTTAGGATCTAAGCTGTGATGTGGATTGGTCACAGTCATACTATTACAGGAGACTATAATAAATGGGATAGATAGTCCCATAGCCTGAGTGAGATAGAGCAGGCTAATGGGATAGATAGTCCCATAGCATGGTGAGATAGAGCAGGCTAAGAGGTAATGGGAGCAAAAAGGCAAAAATATGCTTCACCCAGCACTTGTCTGCAACTCCTTAAAGCAGCTGCCTCTTTTTTTCCAGGATCAGGAAAAGACATGTTTGACAGGTGCTATGTTTACATTCCCACACACCCAAAGCATATCTTGCTTCCACCTTCAAAGCACCACACAGCTCTATTATTCACCAAGACTGAATGACAGAAAATTCAGGACAATATTCTTTACACAAATTAGATTCAAACTGAAATTTACTATCATGATATGTAGCCAACTTGGCTGCCAACTTGGTCTTCAAAGGAAAACAGAAAGGGTATTAGTGGCTTGTCATGACTATGGTGGTTTATTGCCTCCAATATTAGAAGCACTATGCCTCTGTGTTAACAGCTATTGGGGGACAGGAGTGAGATGCTGCTGCTGCTGCTGCTGCTGCTGCTGTGCTCAAGGCCCCATCTTAGAGCAAGCCCTACCATTGGGCCAAATGATGGAGTTGCCTGAAACAGAAGCTGATGGGCTATGATGGAGTGACAAGAATTGGGATCATGTTTTGTGGCTTGCTCCTGAAACTTCAAAGACAGTTTGGTGCATGGAAAGTATGATGGAAGATTGTGTCCTATAACCATGTTGAAATAAAATGCAGCAACCACTTGAGTCACCTTCTCTAAGGAGAACAGAGGAATAAATGAATATGGACCACTTGCTGAAGCAAGTAGACATGTGCAAATCAATGGACATTTGATCCCTTTGCATACTGATTCGCAGAAGAGATTCCTGTGTAACTAATTCATGTCTGCATTTTTACTGAATTATCCAGACATAAGTCCATTTAGAGAGCATCTTCTGTAGAAAGCATCACAGTACTGTGTGCCAGTGATTTTGAAGGAAAAAAAACATATTCAGTCAAAAATATCAGTCTTCTCTTGAGGGAGGGCCAGCTGGACTTGGATCCTGTTAGCTCTCATTTTGCCATGAATCTTCTAGGAGTGAAAAACTCAAATCCATCTCAACCACATATTGTGGGTGTGTGGGTGTATGCCTTCAGGTTGTGAGGGTTTGTTCTTTTTTAACTTCTGGTGACTGCCGTTTTCTTGGCAAGGTTTTTCAGAAGTGGTTTGCCATTGCTTCCTTCCTAGGGCTGACAGAGAGTGCCTGGCCCAAGGTCACCCAGCTGGCTTCATGCCTAAGACAGGATTAGAACTCACAGTCTCCTTGTTTCCAGCCTGATGCCTTAACCACTGCACCAAACTGGCTCTCTAACCATATCTATACAGTAATGTTCTTTTAATCCCTTCTTGCTAGAAAATTCATGTGTCAGTTCAAATCTTTTAGTTCTCTAGAAACAGACTTCATTAAACAGACTTCATTTCCTATTGGAATATATAAGCTACTCGTTGACACGTAGGCCCTCAAGTCCCCTGGGGCCATAATCGCATGCCTTCTCATTGACAGCAGGCTCTTATATACCTTGACACAGAAATAAGCCCCACTGACTTCAGTAGGACATCCTCCTGGGCATAAATGTATAAGCTTGCAACTTGAGGGATTCACATTTGGCCCAACTGTCTCTCATTATTTTCCCACATAAATTAGCATCAAGATCAAAAGTGTAAAAAGAAAAAAGTAAACTGTTCTTCTGTAGAATTCCATTGCCTTCAAACTTTTAATGGAACAGTGCAAAATTCTTTCGTTTCTTTGTTTAGATTCTCACATCTATAAAGAAGCAGTCTTGGTCTTCTCCACCTTTGGAATAAGCAGGTGTAGCACAGCGGTGATGGCTTACCTTATCCATTCATGTAGGCTTTACTTGAAGGTGAGTGTAGTTGATTGGGACAATATCTGTGACAGCCTTCCCTACTTGGTGCGGTCTAGATACATTAGGATTGTAACTTCCCAAACACCTGAAGGGCACAAGTAGGGAGAGGCCATCATACACTGATGTTAGCTCTCTCCACCCCCAATTCATATTTTGCAGTTTGCTGAGCATTCATGTAGCTGCACTCATCACGTTATTCTCATATGTCCTTTCATCCAAATTTCTCTCCCATTCTGTGTTGTCTTTCTTGTGTCAGTTTTTCAACTGTAAGACTCTTGGAACAGAAACCTACCATTGTTTGTAAATTTTCTACCATCAAATTGAGCTTGATGGTAACCAGTTTAGACAGTTTTAAAAAGAGGGTCCTATTGATAAATTCATGGAAGTTCAGGCTTTGAATTATAGGCAGCATTCCTTACTGTAAATATTATCTGCTGTAAATATTATGATAAGATACTAATAATAAATAAAATAAGAGTATATTTCTCAAGAAGGAATTCAGATCATTCTGAAGAACAGACATTAGAACAAGCTTTTTAGACTCAAGACACTTTTTTACCCCAGTTATTGATATAAGATTGACGCTTAACTCTTTTACTCATTCCCTCCCCCTTATTCCCTTGAAAGAAAATACTGGCAATGCAGTTGCTGTGACTCATCTTAAGTCAGCAGTTAATAATTACTGTAAATGTACAATGTCCATTTATTTCACTTTTCTTCAAAATGGCTCAAGATGTTGGTTCTTTTCCTCCATTTTATCCTTAGGCAGATATGCTAAGGTGAAGATGTGAAACCAAAGATGATACAGTGGCCCTTATACCCAAATTAGAACATGAATCTTGACCTCACATTAAAGTGTCTCATACTGAGTCTCTCCTATTGGTCCATTTAGCCTAATATTGGTCTATTGTGATGGCCAATGGCTCCCAAAGCCTCAAGCAGGGAGACCTTCCCATTACTTGCTACCTGGCCCTTGGCTAGAAACTGAGACTGGCATCTGTGGCAAGTTAAAGCATGGGTTGTGCTACCTGGCTATGGCTCCAGGGGTGTCTTCAGGAGGAGTCAACATGGTGAGCACAACTGAAGCCCTGCCTCTTTTAATTTGTGCTTACATAAAAAGGGGTGAGGTTTTAATTGATGAATCAGGAACTGAACCTAGGATTTTGGCACACAAAGCATGTATTCTACCACTAAGTTACAGAGAAGCCTTCCCTAGTTATGGGCTTAGATGGTTGTGACTTTGTAAACACACAGTACAAGTCTTCTGTTCTCCCAAGATGCTTGGGGCTAAATCTTTCCTCATACATTTTCCCTGCTCCTGATCCTTGCCTTCTATACCTTTCTTCATAGAACGCTTGGAGTTACGTCCAGAAATGCAAAACAAACATGCGGCCCAATCGGGCATTTGTGCAACAGCTATCAGATTGGGAACAACGGATCTATGTAACTGCCATCACTGACATTTCAGAACCAAATTACTGACTGGCAGCTTTGTTTACCATGAGTTAATAGGGTGGAAAAGTGAGAAGGAAACAATTTTTTATTTTTTCAGAAGCTTTTTAAAGGAAACATTACCTTCCATTGTTGAACTGTTGCTGACTATCATCTGTCTCACACTCAACAGACACTTCATTATGTTTTTATTTTTCACGAGCTTGTTTGTCAAGGTCAGAAAGACATTGCATCAGAAGCTTTCTGACTTTCCAGAATAAACTTACGGGCACCAAAAATGTTGTTCCCCAAACAGGATGCTTCCACCAAAAAAGTCTTGTTTCCAGCTACAGGCAAAGGAAAGTTGTAGGCATACCCATGAGCTCATAGAGTTAGGAAACAGGAAATGTGCATTTAGCCCTACCAGGGGGAATGAGAAATAGAAGCTCCATCCATCTTTCTGATGTTTGGTCCTCAGCCATTATGCCATAGGCAGAAGAGGGAGTATTACAACGAGCTGATGGTTACTCCAACTTTACAGAAATTCTACAAAGTACCATTCAGGGGAACAGCACAAGAAGCCAATATTATGGGACACTGCATTTTTTCAGGTGCCGGTTAAATATTCAGTGAGCTCTACTAGGATTATATGGGTTGTACTAGGAGCCCTAAACTGATGGAGCAATCCTCTACAGGGAGTCCCAGGTTCAACTGTAGGATATGATTGCCTCATGAGAGAAGCCAGAAATCCTCACACGGGTGTACTTCAAATGAAGGGGAATCCTGCATGAGCAAACTATTTTAACAATCACTGACAATCCATGTGACCTGACCTCCTATGTGTCCTAGCAAGCAAGTCATATCCTCCTTGGCCTGACACACCAGTAACACATTGGTACTCCTATCTGTGCATTGGGACAATGGTGGTAGAATGCCTTTCCTACCTTCTAGGTTTCAGCACTCAAGAACTCATCCAGATAGCAAAGTCATAGTCTTAGCCCAACATCAGGATTGGACTTCTGAAAAAGCAGTATGCATGTATGGAACTACCAACCTGATTCCTTTGAAGCCTGCAAGTCAGCTGGCAGCAGGGGTAATGGCCCATGTGACTCTAATTCCAAGTCAAGGACATATTCATGTGTTGCAACAGTTTCATTATGAAGGTTGGAAGAGTCTGGCTAGAGCAAATAGGCTGGCAGTCTGCAGATTGCAGGTGGCTCTCAAGCTTGTTTGTGGCCCTTACAATCTCCCCCACCAAGTTACTAGGCACCAAACTGCAAAATGCCAGAAATGCCCTCCCCCAACTACACCGCCTCCTCAAGGGACTCTCATCCGGTTGTGATGGAAACTGGTTGTTTACATCTGAAGTAGGGAGTTACAAAGACTGCAGCAAGAACAGCTGTAGCAATGAGCTCTACCGAACTCTCTTACAAAAAGCAAATCAGCGCAGACCAGTTTTTTTAAAAAATTCAATTAATGTTCAGATTTCTGATCTTTAAAAAAAATGAATTGAAAGAATAAGAGGAATAAGAGGTCCCCGTCAATAAACACCCCTGTGACTTGGAGCACTGGTGACACAGATAATGATGGCCTAGTTTGCACCTTGCCTGATCTGGAAAGGGTCAGACCTGGTTACTTTTGGATGGGAGACCAGCACAAAAATCACAGGGCTGAGGGCCAGACTGGGAGATCAGAACAGCATCCAGAAAGAAGGAAAGAGCAAACCACTCACTGCTGCGAAGCAGACTGCGTCCGTGAACTCTCCGGTAGCTACGCTAGATCCAGTGACTATCTTTTGTACGAACCCAGCAATTTGGTGCTTATGCGACAGACCGTAGCTAAACAAACCTTGGCTTAGCAGGATAGTTAGGCCACCCAGTCGGCCGGACTTCACCGATGCTGGCGTCCTATCCTTTGAACCGCGGTCCCCCCGCGAGAGGGGCATTCCCCGCGCGGGTGGCCGCGGCCGCCCTGCCCTCAACCTCTCACCCTCCTGCCCCCCGCCCCCCCGCCGCGCCCGTCCCCGTAGCGCGGCCCCCCCCCCCCGCCGGGGGGGGGCGGG